CATTTCTCGTTCTACTGCAGAGTAGATTTGTAAATGGGCTGATTCATCAATGTCATGCTTGCAATTGTGGTTGAACTACAACAGGGAGCTGTAGTCTTTTCTTTCCTAATCCTTACTATCATCATTTTCCTCTACTTTTTTTGTATGTTTGTCACACTCTTGTGACCTGCTATTTCCGCGGTGCCTTGATAGTCGAAGCAGCCTTTGTGCTGTTGAAGCTAGAGACGTGAGCAGAGTAAGTCTGATTACCTGTAAGGACTTCTCTGTTGAGATCCACCCCTTGGCGCTCATATGACCTTATGCAGTTGAAAGCGCCGTAAAACCTCTACTAAAACCCAAAAAAATCACCTTTAACCTTTGCCACCTATATGACCTAATTACATTGTATGTCACAAGTGCTGAAAATACAGTAAAAGACTTTGGCAGAAAGGTCAAAAAGAACGTTAACAAATTAAATACCAAAAACATTATCAGTGGCGTTGAATTCTTTTTCATAGATGTACATCTGTTTCCCTCCCCGCCCCCACCCCCCTTTTTTGTTTTCGTAATCTGGGTTTTTGTTTCGTAGCATGATGATAGTGGGGTCACCCTTGTGTCAAAATATGTTTGGATATTTGACAGATAAAGCTTGATGTCTGTCTAGTCTTTAGTTTTGTTTTATCTTTACTTTCTTTTTGTTTCGGGTTGAAAATGGGGGACGGAAGTGAGGGTGGGGAAGGGAGTGGGGAAGTTAGATAGAAGCTGAGAAACATCTGTGGTGTAGCAGTTAAGTGGTTTTTATCGAGTGTAGCACCTCTAATCTTCTGGCACTTATATGACCTTATTGTGTTGCGAGCGCCGTAAACCTCTTACTTGAGCTAAACCTCCCCCCCCCCAAAAAAAAAGGCGTATAAAAATCCGTCTTGTCTCCGTCCAGTCGTCCCGTGTCAAGTACAACCAGGAACATTACGCCAAAGTTTTCTCAGATGCCGACAAGGTCAAGGAACTGCAAGCCTCCATCAACGAGCCCTCTCTTTTCCAGCTGGTCGAGGTAGGTCAAGGTCGTTTGCTTTCCATTTGGAATTTTGGTTCTCTGTTTATAACACCAACGTGGGTAGTTGGCGGGTGCTCAGGTGTGGTTTGCTTTTTCTTTCCTATCAAACGTCTATCGTCCTTATCTCCCATCCTTTTTTATGTTTGTTACTCTCTTGTAACACCTCTAATCATCTGGCGCTCATATGACCTTAAGCAGTTGCGAGTGCCGTAAAACACTTACTAAAACTAAAACAAACAAAAAACACTTTTGCGACACCTCTGATCTTCGGGCCACTTGTATGACCTAGTAGCGTTGCAAGTGCCGTAAAACGATTACTAAAGAAAATAGAACATTGTTCTTACGACTTTTTCCTGTTTCAGAAATGGCTGGAGAGGACCCCAGGCTTGACGGTCAAGTCGTTCCAGTTCTGGGAGTTGTACAAGAGATCAGTGGGCGTGTGGCTCCAAGATATGATCCTCGCACCTGCACAGGTAAGACATCCCTTCCTCAGATTTACAAAACTTCTATCTGCACAGCAAGCTACCTAGTTTTTGAGACATTTGATGTTTTTAAAAAATGTTGAGTTTCACATCATGTCAAGCTTTTGAAAGTGAAATTCTTTTAATACCTTGATAACGACTCCGTATAGATCTAATTTTACGATTTTGATAGAGTAGATAGAACATTGATTTTGGTTTCCGACTTCATGGTCTTAGTAACTCAAAACAGCCTAAAATGTTGAATATAACTTTGTAATTCTGAAGTACCAAAGTGGTGGACAAGAGATGGGAAGGAAGATTTCTTCTGTCAACTTTGTAAAATTCAAGGAGACGCCTTGTGTGCGTGTGTGCAAGTGTTTGCGTGTGTGTGTGTGGGGGGGGAGGGTGTGTACGTGTGTGTGTGTGTGTGTGTGTGTTTGTGTGTGTGTGTGTGGTTGTGTGTGTGGTTGTGTGTATGTGTGCGTGTA